TGCAATCACTGAGTAACTCCAGTGTGACACTGGGACTGTCTCACACCTCAGGCTGACAACACAGCAGCACCAGGAGTTTAATCACCTTCCCCTCATTAGAGGAGACAATGAAGTGACCACTCAGGTGCCCAATCACTCCTGCAAAGCACTTCACTAGACCCTGTTTTGCAATAACCCCCCCAGGCTGCAAATCCCCATYTGCCAGGGACCTGAGAGAAGAATTCAGCAGTTTTAAAGGAATGTCAGGAACTAGAAATACACCTGAGGAAAGTCCAGTAGCTGGGAGGGAGCYCTGGTGACAAATAAACACCCAGAGCTGAGCAGAAGCAGCTCATTCCAAACAGTGACACCGAGCMAGGCCTGTTCAGTSCCACAGGGACAGCACTGGAAACACRGGAATATTTAAAACCACCACTATTCCTAAGAAAATTACCAAACAAGGCTGTAATGAGGCAAGTGATGAGCTGGGGGCACCATGAGTGCCACACCTGCCCTTTCCAGGCGCCTTTTCCATTGTACAGCATCTGCCCAGGCTGTGGGTGAGGTTTGGGAAAAAGCATTCAGTTCTCCCCCTAAATTCAATGAACTCCTCACTCATTTCCAGAAGAAAATCACAGACACAGCACTGAATGCAGAAATACCTGGGTTACACATCTCAACGCTTTTTTGCTTTGTTTTGTTCACTAGAAAAGGGAAAAAAGTCAGCCCAGACTCCAGGAATGTYAAGCGAGTGCTCTTTTACAAAGTCCAACATAACCCCCCCCCAGGGATGAGGCTTTACATAACAGCCACCCACTCACTCGGGGACGGGATTGTGTCCGGAACCCCGAGTTTTCCTTCCCTGACCTCTGGCAGCACCTGCCCGAAGCCAATCCGGTGATCACGGCAGCKCSGGGAACSCGCCCGGCCCGGCCCGGGAACCCCCCGGTGCCCCGCAGCCTTTGCCGGTCCTGCCCGCTCCATCCCGGAGCCGCTCCGGCCCTAAACCGCCGAGAGCAAAGGGGAAGGAACAAAGCCCTGACGTCAATTACCGGAACAGGATTAAATCCATCACCGGGGAGCGCAGCGCAGCGGCGCCGCCRGCACCGAGCCCATCCCGAATCCCCGTTCCAGGGAATCCCCCGGGTTGTGCTTCCCGGGGAGGGACCCCCGCCCKCCGCGGGGTGTCACCGCGGGGAGCGAGCGCGGGGAAATCCGCGGTTCCCGGCGGGAGATGCGCCTGGAGCGGCCGATCCCACCCTCGGGCCCGCCGGTTCCGCCGGGGGCGCGGCCGGGACGTCCCGGGAGTGCCCGGGGTGGGAGCGGCGCGGCCCCGGTGCTGCCCCGGTGCCGGCGGGAGGCCCTGCCCGGGCGCGCTCACCTGCGCTGGCCGCTCCGCTAGGCCCGGACCATCTCCTGGCTGCCGCCACCGGCGAACGATGAGGCCCGAGGAGCCGCCGGGGAGTCACGGAGCGCCGGGGGGCGCGGGGCGGGCCCGGCCCGGGGGAGGGGGGGCGGCTCACAGGCGGGCGGCCGCTCCGTAGGGGTCCCGGCGGTCCATGGCGGGCCGGCGCCGGGCTGGCGGCTCGCAGGGCTCGGGCAGGGCCGCGGCTCGCTCCATTGTGCTCCTGTTTGCACCGATGGGAGCGCGGCGCTGATTGGCTGCGCCACGGCCCCCGCGCGCCGCCGCCCCGATCACGTGACGCGCGGGGACCACGTGACCCCGGCGGAGCGCGCGTAGGGGGGCGTGGCGTGCGCTCGGCCCCGCCCCTCCCGCGCGGCGGCGGGAGAGTCACGTGCGCAGCGCGCGGGGAGCGCTCCCGGGGCTGCGGCGCCCCCTGGCGGCGGCGGGCGGGACACGGAAACACCGGGAACACCGGGAGCACCGGGACACACCGGGAGCACCGGGACACACCGGGAACACCGGGACACGGCGGGAGAACCGGAACACACCGGGAGAACCAGGACACACCGGGAACACCGGGACATACCGGGACAGGCTGGGAGCACCGGGAACACCGGGAGCACCGGGAGACACCGGGACAGGCTGGGAGCACCGGAACACATCGGGACCCACCGGGACCACCGGTACACAGAGGAACACACCGGGAGCACCGGGAGAACCGGGACACACCGGGAGCACCGGGACACGCCGGGAGAACGGGGACACAGCGGAGACACCAGGACACACCGGGAGAACCGGACACACCGGAGACACCAGGAGACACCGGGAGACGCTGGGAGAGCGGGGATTGTTCGATCTGGAGAGCAGCAGCTTCGGGGTCACCCAACTGTGGCCTCCCAGTGCCTGAAGGAGCTGCAGGAAAAGATGGA